GCCTGTATTATTATTAACATTTTGAATTGGCTTTTTTTATATTTTCAGTTTATTTTAGCACTTTTGCTATGTATCCTTTTTATTACAACAAAAATCTTTTATTTTTATTTCCATTTATTTCATTTGTTTTATTTCAGTTTGTTTCAGTATTTAAACTTATTTCACTTAGTATTCTAATTTTTCATTTAGTTTTACATTGTATTCTATTTTATTTCAACTTTATTTAAATTAACTTAAAAAAATATATAGTTTTAACTAACTACAACAATGCTGGCAGGTGTCGTGTCTATGCTGCTCTTTTCCATTTTATGAAAGGAAATGGATACGTCAAGCCTCAAAACATAATATAAAAACCACCCTAAAATATATTGAAAGTGGTTCAAGAAGCTTTTTGTAAGAAACAGACTGAAATGTAAGTCATGAAACATGCCATGCAAACACACGTCAGTGACCATGAAAGGGGTTTGAGAAATGTAGTGTGGGGAAAATAATATGTTTATTATTATTATTATTATTAGCATTAAAATAAAAGAGGGGTGGGGGCATTTAAACAGAATGCATTTCTGCATTTTAAAACATGTAATGAAAAAAAAGAGAGCAATACTTTTAACTTTGGCGGGTCATTTGAGACACCAAAAATGTTATTATTTTTAAAATAATTTAAGACCAATTTTGCAACAAGACGAAAACACACACACACACACACACACACACACATACACACATACACATACATACACATACATACACATACATACATAGTCCTTAAATAAGGTATAAACTTAAGTGTGTTCAGCTGATAATGGCTGGGTGATTAAAAAAAAAAATGTATGGTCCTTAAGATTTACAAAGACATTTACAAAGACAACGTCTACAGACATCCTTATCTCCTTTTGTTTACCATATAATGTCACATTGCTTGTAAATAACATTACCCGGGTAAATGAACTATTAGTAGATGAACTACTGCTTTAAAGTTATGACAGTTTAACTTGTGTAAAAATTTGAGGCCACACCCCTCTGATCCAGCACAGTCCAATAGAGTTTCAGTCCTGAGATTGACGACCATTCTAAAAGGCCTGTCAGAACCAATCAGCAGTCACATCACACACCAAGGACAGACGTACTCGGTATCCATCACTTGTGACTCACCAAACCAAGTGTTCCGCACTCTCTTGTCTCATTTTGTTGCTCTCATCCCATTTCATTCTCTCTCTCTCTATATGCAGTGTATTGACACCATCTGTCAGAGCTCCAGCTGGTGCCTGAAGGTGATCTCTTCAGACCAGTGAGTATCTCACTGTGGAGACAGAAGCCCCTTGACCTGGACAGACACTTACAGCCAAGCGAAAAGCCCAAAAAGGTAACTCGGTCCTACCTCAATGAGTGCCATCGCTGAATAAATCTGAAAAGGGTTATGACTTGCATATAAAGAATCCAACAGGCTAACTGGAAAAACGTGTCTCTACCTACATTTTTGCAAAACTCCAAAAAACATACCTATACATGCAATTCACTGCATTTTCCAGCTGAAATGAACACTAGTTGCAGTAAAACACCAACAACTTTTATTCCTTTTCACACAAGTTATAATTACAAGCTCATAATAGTGATTAATAAAGACTTATTTTTGCATGCTTTCTTGCACAATACTACATTATCTCACAATACTTTTGCCATATGCATGATTTGTAAACTAATGCATTTTAACATTTTCATCACATAATCAGCTCCATATGGATTTCCTGATATAGCAAACTTGCTCAATAGCTCACCTGGTACTGCGTTGCACTTATAACGTGGAGCATCCCATGAAACACGAGTCACTAAGAGCTCAAAGACACTATTAGCTGGTTTTATTCCATTTAAAGTGGTCATATTATGGCTAATCAAATTTTCCTTGATCTTCTGCAAAGTCACTGCACTATGAAATTTTACTTGTAACTTGGACTATAACTTAAAACTTACTGTTATTAAAACAAAGCTGAAAAAACATCTCCTCCTCAGATTTATGACATGGAAAATCCCTATTCATAACCATACATGACCACATTTATTTGTCAGCTAGCATATTCTGTGTTAAAAAAGGACCCAGTCACTGTGAGGTAATAGCAATTATATAGGGTAGATACTACTATTTCTTACTAATTACTCTGGAAATGAGTCAGGAAAGTGATGTACACTGTCAGCTGGCACCAAAAGAACCCACACTGTCCCAAACACTTAATTTGAGACCATCCTACATGAATCATGACGTCAAAGGGAGTAGACAGGGAGAGTCCATTTCACATTTTTAATTTTTTTCAGCAGATGAATGCTAAAAGCATTGACAGCCAATTAGAATGCATGCTTACAATAAACAGAACGTTACTGTCCTTTGGTGTGGATGCTAATGTAGTTATTGTATAGATAACGTCATTGGTGTGAACAGGCCTAACAGAAAAGAGGGTAGAAAATCTTGAAAAACCAAAAAACTTGGACTAATATTATAAGTGGACTACAGCAGAGAAAGGTCACAAGTCAACTAGATGTAAAGCATCATTAATTTAAAGTGTATTAAATAGAATTCCACATTAATCAGAATATAGTCGTCAAAGGCTTGCATTTGAAAATAAGCCTGAACGGAGAGTTAATGTCAGAGTTTAGATATAGATATTGAATATAAATCAGAATGTGAAAGACGATGCAGACAGAAGCAGGGGAGCTAGAAAAAAACAAACAATGAGGCTTCAATATTTGCCCTTCATCGTTATCAGTGAGGCTGTTTGCTTCTGATCCCATTCGCCATGCTCCTGAGCCGAGACGGCAGCTACCGAGACCAAGAGAGAGCAGGGAAATCACACCCAAAAAGTCCCTATTGAACCATCAAGTAACAGGCTTTGTTGAGACAATGCTAGCCGGGGGCTGGTGGAAAGATGGGTGTATTTCAGGCAGCCAATAAACACTGGGCTCCCGGAGGGCATAGAGGAGGCAGAACACAACGAAATGGAGAGAGAGCGAGAGGAGGAGAAATGGAAGCAAACTTCTCATTCTCTCACCCTAAACTGTGACTTTAACCCTCGCCTCATAATCATATGAATGGATCCACAGCGCACACTCCCCCACAGAAGCGATAAGCAACACCTATGCACAGTGTAGTAGGCTTAAGAAGCCATTCTCTCCAAAGCCTGTATTTCTGCAATGCTGGATTAGTCCGATTTGCAGAGATTAAGAAATCCAAACCTTTCTTTTAATGGTTTAATTCTTGGGACGAGGGGGGGTTGGGGGTTTAAATGGATCGTCAAGTGTTGTCTATTAAGCTCATTAGCCCTTTAAAGAAGCTGCCTGACTCGTGCGCCCATCAGATCCTTTGAAAATGAGAATCAATTAGGACCATCATTTCTCATGCTTGTCTGGGTGGTGAACACGGGGTGAAGAACTTCACATTTATCATGAACTAGGACAGTGAACACAAAACCGGATGCGTTTAACATGGGAAAGAGCTTTAAATGGGTATGTGGCTATCCGGGAACTGAATGAGGAGCTCAGGGAAGGTACTGTGACTAAAGAATGAAAATGACCCCAGAATGAATTTGGACACAAGCAACTCTTTAAAATGTATGAATACAGTTGCATTAGATTACAAAACAAATAAAGTCAAGAGAAATATACCTAAATCAATATAAAAATGTTAAAAAGTTCAATCTAATGAAAAACTAACTGGAACAGAGCTAATGTATTTGGTGGATGTCAAATGTTAGTGGAAAATGTCCATAGTTAATGACTGTGATGAACTCAACGGGAACTGACTTCATATAGGCAAAAAAAAAGTATATATATATATATATATATATATATACACACAATCAAAACAAACCAACAAATAAATAAAAATACTTTAAAAAAAAAACTAAAACATTTTAAATAATTTGTTTTATAATTTTTATTATTACTTTTAATTAACAATAAATTATAATAAAAAAAAAATAAATGGATTGGAATATAATTCTGGGTTCTTTCTTTTTTGACATCATTTGACCATCATAAGAAATGTCATATCACCGCCCATTTTACACATTTTTATATAAACTAATAAAAAACAAATTTTGTGCAAACAGCCTCTAAAGTGAAATAAAAAAATAAAAATGTTTGTTTGCAGTTCCCACTCGATTTGATATTTTGTTCAAATGCAGTTAAATTCGTACATCAAACATCTAGTGGGTTGTGATACAGGACGTTTATGTACAGAAGCTCACCTGTCAGCACAGCACTTATTCATGAGCTGAGTAAAGATAGACAGACACTGTAGATAGATTTGCACCTGTCATCTGATGCTATAAAACTCAAATCTGAAGGACACTGCATTCATGTTCTGCCAAGCTGGTAAACGTAAGGGCAAAAGAAGGACGTGGCGCTTTGATGAAGTTTCCTTGCCCCTTTGAACCCCTTTGAAAGCAGGAGAAAGCAGATTTTTTCATACATATTTCTGGGTTTAATCTGACGTTCAGCGCGGTGCCTTTGGTTCCTGGTGGGATTAGATGGAGTTTAAATGTTAGCTCAGTGGGTGTGGGTTCTCTTCTCTTCCTGCCCTTTGATGCCTGCCACCCTCGGTCTATATGTCAAAAATAGAGAAAAACACACCGATAGAGAGCGAAAGAAGAGAGAAGGACTACTAAGGTGATATGTAATGGCGGCTTTAATGTGCTTAACAAATCCTTTAGCATGCTAATTAATAATCAGATGGCTGCTTTTTGAGTTTTCACTACAAAGCAATCATTTGAGTGAAAACAGCTTAGCTGAGAAGAGACAGACAGATTCACAGAGAGAGAAAAGAATGAACAGGATGCTGAGTAGACGGGAGGAGGAAGTGGAAATACCATCTTTTATACACATGGCTGCCATAGGGAGACCGTGTCCAAAGGACCTGCTGATACCAGATGAGTTTTTACATTTGTGCACAGTACTTGAAAAGAAGATGGAATATAGCTTATGGCTTTGCTTTTCTGTCATCATTTACTCACGCTTATGTCATCCCAAACTTGAGACTTCCTTTCTTCCTCGAATCTAGGAGAAGTTAGGAAATTTACATTGTTATTTTCCGTATGTGAACATGGATGCTGTCAAGCTGCAAAAAGTACAAAAAAGCACCATAAAAATATCATAAAATTGGTTTTACAGCTCATGCACTATATTCCATGTATTTATATTTATGTCCCATTTTAGGCAACGTAAGGCTCAGAAAATGATGACAAACTTCATTTAAAAGGATCACCCAAAAGGAAAATCGGTTACACTTTATTTTAAGGTGTCCATGTTACACTGTAATTATACATTTAAGTACTGTTACGGGCAGAGAACTCAGAATCCAGTTGCAAGTGAAAAGTGATTTATTGTGACAATTAAATAGTGAAGCTGGGTCGCAAGCCAAACGTGATGATCAAGGTGAGTAGCCGTGAGCACACGGGGATTACGAAGTCCCGACCTGATCCAACTAGGGGAGAGGAATCCAACGAGACTTCGATGGGTTCCTAGACTGGACATAATCCGAGACAGAGGACTGGAAACAATCCGAGGCAGAGATCCACCCGACACACAGGCTCTGGAGAGACAACAAGCATGAGCCAGGACAAACAACGATCTGACAACACGCAGCCCAACACACGAGACAAATAAAGACAGGACAGAACGAGCGGCAGGTGCAGCCGCGCTGATTAGCTCGTCAGTCCCTTGGTTGCCGGAGCAACGCTGACGAGCAATCAGACAGGTAACACAAACAGACACGCAGAATTGAACACACGGATCCATGAACCGTGACAAGTACTGAGTAATATTAATTAACTACATTTATTTACTATATGGTTAGGATTAGGGATTGACTTAGGTTACTTGCATGTAATTATGCATAATGTATTGTTATTATAATAGTAAGTACATGTAACGTGTAACAAGGACACCTTAAAATAAAGTGTTACCAGAAAATCTCATCTATTCACAATACTGTATCACGGTTTCCATAAAATATTAAGCAGCACAACATTTTTCAACATTGATATGAAATTAGCAGAAATTAGAAAGATTTCTAAGGGTTCATGTGACACTGAAGACCGGAGTAATGATGCTGAAAATTCAGCTTTGCCATCACATGAATAAATTATATTTAAAAAAATAAAACAGAAAATAGTTATTTTAAAATGTAATAATTGTAATAAAGATATTTAAAAAGAAATGACCAGCCTCAAACTTTTGAAAGGTAGTGCAGCTCCACTCAAGCCTCAGTAACTTAATTTGTTAGATCAGAAACTCTGAAGTCAGAGAATGAACTATAGACTTGATTTCATAGAAATTCTGTCAATAGAAATCAATCCGAACACAAAAGTTATTTTTTTCTGCTCTTACAGCTTTTGAAAATTAGTTTCTTTCCCCAAGCCTCCATTAGTTGACTTGCAAGGTAACTATCAACCACTCGCACCTTTTTCAGTCATTTCTCATGATTTTGTCCTAATGCTTAAGCTGCTGACACTATTCAAATAAACCCGTCATGGAAGCCTTTCATCAGCTCCCAGGTATATAATGTCCAGAAAGGTGGTATTTACAGTCAAAACGGTTAAAGAAATGAGAGTGAGAAGGCGGCACTGCCACTTCTAAAAAGAACAATGTTTATGCAGAACAATAAAGAGCTTTTACATGAATATTAAAAGGGTCTCAAATTTCATTTCCAAAAGTGCATATCTGAACTTCGCAAAGCACCAGGTTTGATGTCAATGATGCCAAATACTCAGCTGAAACATGATGCAATTTTTGAGAACTGAGAGTGATGAAACATTTTCAAATAACTTATTTTTCTGTGAAAGAAAGCCATGCAGGTCTGATCTGACATGAGGATGAATAAATGACAGAATTTCCAATTTTCCAACACAAACATCTTTTCAGCTTCTGTGCAGATGAATAGAGCCTGTGACTTCTCTTTCTGCACCTCTGAGCTCATCTCTGGTTCTGCTGGGCTCTCACAGGCTGTCCTTCACACCTGGCCCTCTGTAGCAGCTCTCAACCCACTCACGGCTGACTGATCTGTACTGGCACACTTGTTCTGTGGCCATGCACACTACATGTGGGCACCCCAGACTACATCTCTAAAACTCAGACAGGTGTGAGTGTTCAGACTGACACAGGGGCCACTGAGACCACACATGGCCAAAATACATGACTATCAAGGCCTTCTGTTCACATACTGTCCATCCAAAATAGTTTGTGAGATTAGAATAACTAATCCAAATCATCATTGCATCAAAAATAGTATTGAAATGTAGTGTCAAACTGCTTCTAGATGACTGCTGGTGTGGGCATCCCTGCATGCTTTATAGAAGCATTTTTCCCACAACCCTTTGCGCAATGGAAGTTTTGACAGTTCTTTTTCAGCTTTGAGTTGTGGTAAAGTGACAAGGGGATGTAATAAATGAATAAAGCAATTATTTATAGAGCGCTTTATTGTGTATTGCTGTACACCCAAAGCACTTTGCAATCATATGAGGGGGGGGATCTCCTCAACCACCTCCAGTGTGCAACATCCAATAAAAGTGATGCCGATGTTGCCACAGCAGACAATAAATGCCTAAATGTTAAAGTCAGCATATGAGGAATCAAATTTTTCTTGATATTTTTGATAGAGCAGCTTGTACTTTGATAAGTATTGTAACTTAAAAAAAACAAAGTATACTGACAAACTGAGCTGCAGAAACAACTTATGTAACTTTCCGAAGTGGTCAAAAAACAAAACAAAAACACAACCATGTTAAACAACGACACTTATTAATTGATCAGAAACCTGGGCCGTAAAGTAAGATAATATGTAATAATGGCACTTTTCAGCATATTTTTTGCATATTTTAGGTATAGCAGCATCAGTAGCAACAAACAAAAATAAATAGATCTAATACAGTATGTTGTTCTATGGCCTTCAAAATTAGCCACTAACTAAATCTGGATTTTCCCTGAAAAATGAAATGAAATAAAATAATCTATTTTCTAAATACATATTACAGATATTATTGTAAACAATGTATCTGTGTATATTTCATTCTTCAGGGTTTTTTTTTTTTTTTTTTACCTCAATGTTTAACAAAAATGTCATAATTAGACCTTCCAGTGAAAATGATAGATGTCTCTCTGGTCACCTATGCAGGACACATCCAATCATTTAGCCTGCTTAACCTCCACCACTCCAAGCTCACACTAATCAATCAACAACCAATGCATAGAACCAAGTTACCACACTACTTCGTTACATTTAGATGTACGCCACAATACAGAAGAAAAGATTTGTCACTAATTTACAAGGCTTTGTTGTTCAGAGTTTGTTGTTGTTGTTATGTCTTGAATTTGGAGTCCAAATCAACTCTCAAGTAAATTCTTGTGTTCTGAGCTTCCATCTCTGCTATACGTCAAGGTAGAATCATCAGAGGTACTGATGGAGAGACCAAAATCAGATCCCAGTGAACACAAACTCTATGCATTGCTTCAGAATACTAAAAAAGGATGAAGGAACCCTTGTCTTTGACAGGGAATCAAATGGACATTTTTTATTCTGTCTGTTCGCATCCGTCTCCCTCTCTATGCCCACCCTCCACAGCCCTTTATTTTTATCTCCACCGACGCGCTTGCGGCAATGTGACTTTGTCTTATTTCACGTCCAAAGATCGCCATTGCAACACTATTGCTGACAGCTAAATAGTCAAAAGTGATCCAAACAAAAGATGAAATGTAAAGAGAAAGAAAAAGTCTTTGAAGTACACTATTCATTCATGGGCCGTGGCGGTATAGCAGACCAAAGCCTATCTGTAGTGCGGGACCTGACTGAGCAATGAATTGTGGGTTAAAAACTCATTATCCTCAAGGTTGGCAATGTGAGTTCCTCAAGTACTTGTACTGGGCCCTATATAATTCTCATAGGAGGCTTGTATGAATGTACGACCAGATACCTGACCAGTTCTCACCTATCCATGTTACCATGCATGTCCATTAATGACTCCACCATGGGCAGCCCTGGAGGCTCGTGGCACTGCTGCGCTGTCTTTATTGACTGTTCTGACATGTGGAGGTCTCATGAGAGGTTCTGGGGAGAGCAGTGAGTCACACAGCTGCAGGGCCAATGTGACAGGCCTGACAGACACATACTCTCCGCGCAGAAAGAGAAACCATGCATTCGGTCTAGGAGATTGGCCCACGGTTGCATTCAGCCACCATGTCTCTGTAAATCTATGCAATATGTCTTGGGGAGACTGGCGGTGCCATGCCGCAAGCAACTTAGTGGTAAATGCAATTTATTGCATTAGGAATTTATAGGCTCCTGTCACACCTGTTCCCTCCCTCCCATCACTTCCTGTCAGCTCACTGAGCATGTTTACATGAACATTCTTAATCGGCATTAGGTCATAAACGGCTTAATAAACTGAACGACAAAGCTAGGTTTTTGCCTATTATCCCAATTTCGCCAGTCATGTAAACGCCTTAAAGGGATATCTAACCAAAAAATTTAAATTCTGTCACCATTTACCCATCCTCAGCGAGTTTCTTTTTTCTGTTGAGCACAAAAGAAGATATTTTGAAGAATGTGGGTAACCAAGCAGTTGATTGTAGCCACTGACTTCTATAGTATGGAAAAAAAAAATACTATAGAAGTCAATGGCTACCGTCAACTGGTTACCAACATTCCTCGAAATATCTTCTTTTGTATTCAACAGAAGAAAATAAACTTGTACAGTTTTGGAACAAATGGAGGTGAGTAAATGACGACCATTTTCATTTTTTGGTGAACCATCCCTTTAACTTGCGTTCTTTCAGCTTATTGAAGTGTGCATGTGTGATATGTAACAGGAAAGCAATCTTACTGCGGATTTAAGTGCATCCAACCAGAGGGAGTGTTTGTAAGGGACAAGGAAATATACTGTACACTGCGACTCTTTCTTGACCCAAGAAATGATAAAAATGTGTTTTCATCTTGTGTAGCTGAAGGAGAATTGGTAAAATTGTAGAAACTGCAAACATACAAAGAGAATATGAGTTTGTATTTCCTGCAAACATTTTAGAATACTCTGCGGTTTTTAGTTTTATTTTATTTTTTTCACAACTCACATAAAAAATAGAATACTCTGAGTAGAATGCATGAATGCTTCTGTTTTGATGCCACCAAAAAAAAAAAAAAAAAAAAGGTTATTCATTTGCATGTAAACTGATAAGACATGTATTTCAATAAACTAGTAGTTAACTGGTAGATATCAGCATGTTGGCATGCATGTGAACATGCTCACTGTTTTCATGATGAATCACTGAATTATTAAATTATTAATTATTAATTAATTCAGAAACTATTGTTTTGCTTTCAGATGTGTAACCATTTATTCTGCATAAACAGACAAAGTAACTGGCTATATTGTGACTAAAATGTAAGTTACTCAATTATTTAAGTCTAATTGGTCTGCGCGTCAACACATATTACTAATTTGGGATATTTCCCAACCATAAACTCAAACCACTGGTTAAAAACATGTTGAGAGAAATTAGAAAGCTCAACAGTGCTTTCAGGGAAATACATCTACAAATGGATTGATTGTAGTAGTGTTCTTCTTATAGCTTTATAGCTGCTTATAGTTGAAAGTCCATCAAAAATAACATCCAAAAATATCATTTTTAGATGTTAAATGTGTTGGTGCTTTTTTTGAAATTTATTTGACAATAGGAAAATACTAACAATAAAAGCAGAAAGGCACTATATTGTTAAAATTACTTTCAAGAACATTTTTATCTAACTTATAAACAATGAAAAATTGACAGCCAATCAGAATCCATCTGACTTTAAAGAACTCAACAGACGACAAAACTGCAGCATTTGCTTATAATAAACAGAACGTTATCTTGCATTGGTGTGGACGCTAATATAATTATAGTTATTGTTCTTGGTGTAAATGGGCCTGAAGGCATATAATTCCATTTAAAACAATAGTATTTTATGGATGTAAAAGGTGTTCTCTATATGACAGGCTGTTTGAGGAAACACTGAGGAAAAACTCCAAAGACAAATATTTTTTCTTTAGAATAACCCACACCAATGAACCGTTCACTATAAGTCCAGGTATGTGTACAGAGTAAATGGGGTCAATTTGGATTCCATGTTGACTTCAACGTCATGTCATCTGTTTTTAATCAGCGCACTCTTCAAGCAGTACTCACTAGTACATGAGACCAACCTTAATGGAGTGCGTTTAGCTGATCAGCCCAATGAGTTTGGTACACAAGTATGCCTGTGGGCTTCCCTGGGGCCTTTGATTGTCGACTTCATTTAGCCTGCTCCGTTTCCCACGCTGGGAGAAATACACAGTCTCTGGCCTATTGAAGCGGAATGGAACCACAAGAAACCACCTTCAGGAGGCTGATTTACCTGGGGCCGTTTCCACGGCAACGCACCCCAGGGAGGTCTCGGAGACAAGAGCGAAGATACCCGAGCCCCCACCCCAACTCGGTTTTATTCAAGGAAAAAGACGGCATTTCATGCAACATATACAGGAGATGGTGTTTTTCTAGCATGCGGAGGAGGCGCGGAGACATACCCTGGATTGTTTTTCCATGCTGATGCACATCCGCTAACCTTTTCAGCAAAGATAGTTCATCCCCGTCACTCGTCTTCACTCGCACACAAGTGCCCTGCAAAGGCCGGGCAGAAGCCTGAGAGAGAAAACACACAGTAATTGCTGTCACACAGCGGCTAGATGTGTTAGCCTGCAGTCCTACACATGTTCAACCGCCTCAAAGACTGCCGCTTTAAACGGCAAAGGCGGGATGGGTTCAGCCCGTGTCTCGTTTTGTTTTCGTTTTACCTGCTGAGCTGTGGCTTAATGAGAGCGTGTGTTCATTAAAGGAAGTCTTCATTATGCTTTTATGTTTTGGCTGCGAAACTTACAGTGCCGCCCACTTGTCAACGGGCAGAGGTTCATCTACAAATACGCCGTTTGTAGTCGTTTAGGCTTAGAAAGAGCAATAACCTGTGTGTGTCAAAGGATTTGGGGGATAATAGCTTTGTGACAAGGCAGGCTGTGGGTATGCGCGTCCCATCTGTATGTCTAGCGCCCCACCTGCCCTGTCCTTCTGTCCATCTGCGCAAATGCTCGCACACAATCCCATGCTGCCAGAGACAACATACAATGATTAATAAACACAAACACATACAAGCCACACCTCTGACAATGAGTATTGTAACAAGTGAAATTTTGAAGCTCAAAGTGATGCTCTTAATACCGATCACACATTGGCATGAGAGTTTGCACAAGACCAGGGCAAGTTGTCAATTTCTGTATGCACTGAAGAAAAAAAAAACTGTAGAAACAATTGTCACTTAACACATGAAACGGCAAGTAGCACATTGAATTAAATGTAAAATTTTAAAGTAGAAAGTTCAATTTTAAAAGTTCAATCTGAAGTTTAATTTTCTTGTTAAACATACACAAGTAATATTTGTTTTATTTACAACAGTGAATAATACTTTTTACAGTGTAGACACATGCCTTAAAGTCTTGGCTAGGAAAAAGGCTAGGAAAAAAATGTGCAGCTTATTTAAATCATTGACCTTTTGTGACATTGAGCATATGAAGGCACTGGAGCATTTAATTAGTTACTTAGAAATATATAAATAATTATAATACTAAAAAAAAAGCTCATAAAGAAATTCCATACATTTTCAATCATTCCATTATATATATAAAATCATTTTAATAACAATGCTTCTTGAATTGTACATAGTCATTTAACAATATTTAATCAGTGACTTAGAAATATATAAATAAGAATAACAAAAAGCTCAAAGAATTCCATACATTTTTATGACACTTTAGAATAAGCTTTCGTTTGTTTGTTTGTTTATTTCATTCATTCATTCATTCATTCCATATCAGCATCAAAGGCTATATTCATGGCAAACTAAAAAAAAATATTTAAAATAGTTTTAATAACAATACTCCTTGAGTTGTATATGGTAATTTAACAATATTATTTTTACAAATAAACAAAATAAAATCATAAATTAAAATAATTATACGCAAATCTTTTAAACTTATACTTGGTTTAAAAAACAAAAAAATCTAATATTTTCGCCGGTAAGACATATTTAAAAATGTCAACTAATGTATTGTAATTATAGCAGGACACTTATATCTTCTATGTTTACATTAGATAATGCATTGGGTATTATTAACCAACAATTAACAATTTACCACACTTTTACAGTATTTATTAATCTTAATGTTAACGTTAATTTTTGTTAAAATTTAAGTCATGTTAAAGTTTATTTATACAAATTGCTAAAACATGTATGCATTTTCAAATGTTTTAGTATATATAACAAACCAAGATTATTAAATACTGAAAATGTAATTTCTTCATGATACCTGATGTTAACAAAAGTTTGTACCCATATGTATTATTATTTCCAGGTTTAAATTGGATTTTGCATCCCATATGATGCTTTCAGATTTTTGGACCCCTCTATATATTTTCTGTTTTTCCTTCTGCCTCTATTTTTATGTCAGATGGAATGAAAAAGGCAAGTGTTCTGCTCCACAGATAAATCACAGATTGTGGCACTTGGTGCTACTTCCTGTTGCCATGACTGCTCTGAGATCTACCATTTTAAAGGCATTTTTTGCCACCTCAATGTGATGTTTAAAGAAAATTAAAAAAAAGCCCCAAAAGCTGTTCAAAGAGTCTTATTTATTAAGAAAATCTGATCTTTAATCCAACTGGAAATGGCAATTTTACACTTTCTCACAAAGAAAGGGAGGTCACAGAATAAATATAGTCTCTGAATTTGATGGCTTATTTCTTTTAAATGCCCAGAGAATTTGTGATTTAGTGGTGAATGTAATGTTTCGTAATTGCATGGTTTCATTTTGGAAGTCACAGGTGAGAATAAATGAGGATAAAGAGGTGTGCTTGAAAAGAGGAAAAATATGGTCTTTTAAGCAGTCGTTTAAAAAAAAAAACTAGCAAAAGGTAGTTCTGAAAAAATCTGAAAAGAGGAAATAGGAAGTACACGCAGTGGGAAAAAGTTGCATTAACGGCTCTATAATTGACTGAGTTCAAAAGCCTCGCTTCTTAGTCAAAAACCAAAGCGAATTAGCGTCTGTCATTGCCGCTGCCAAAGTCTGGACCATACAAGTTGAATACTGCTAAATTAATTACAAGTTCCTAACTAGGTTCTGACTGTCACTTTTTTGGGTTTTGATGTGAATTCTTTCTAAAATGAAAATATGACATGCATAGGAAAGTTCTCAAACACATTAGACAATAATGATCTCATCCGTATTACTTCCAAGTGCAACAAAAGGAGCCTTTCCAACTTTCAGCACAGTGAACAAAGATGCCAGTGTTTGGTTTAGACTAGAGCGATTTTTGCCAAGAGCTGCACTCCACGTTGAACGGTACACTTAATAAAGAGCATGTACGGTTTGTATTTTACATAAAATTAAATAAATTCCCCATATTGTCTCGCTGTAGTGGAGTAATTTCTAACACCAACAAGTTCTCATTGTTCATCTACAGCACAGAGGTGAAAGACACTCTCTCTGTAGGGCAACAAAGGTGCATACATTTATCATGAGCGCTCTGTGTATCTATCACTGCAGTACTCTCACAATGCAACGCCGGCAACAAGGTCTCTGCAGATTCATAAGCGTGAAAAATGGATGAATAAATGCATGAATAAACAGTATGGAGAGGAAACATATTCATGAGATAAAACATTTATATTTGCATTCACAACAAAGTGGGTATTGCAGTTTTCCTTCCTGTAAATATGAAATAAAAGACATACTGATAGAGATGAATTAAATAAATTTCCACGGGCGCTGAGCCTCGGGTTCAAACCAATCTGACTTGTTATTGTCACATCTGATCTCACTTGAGTCCAATTTGAATCAATATCCTCCCTGTGCAAATTAAGAAACGTGTCATCAAATTTGAAATAAACATTAGCAAGCATTAGCATTAGCAAGCAAGTTTTCATTAGCAAGCATTTCTTTGACTAACAGTAAATACAACAAAACTTGAAAAAAAAAAATCACATTTACATTACATTTTACATTTAGTCATTTTGCAGACGTTTTTATCCAAAGCGACTTACAATTTGGGGATACATAAAGCGATTCTTCTTAAAGAGGCAAACAGATACAGGAAGTGCTTGTAATACCAAGTTTCTAGACATTGTTCAAATTAAGTACAAGCTAGAAAGAGAAGGAATAAATAAAGAGAGAGAAAATTATTATAATTTTTTTTTATAATTTTTTTTTTTTATAATGATGATGATGAAGTCAAGTAGCTTCGAAAGAGATGAGTTTTCAGCTGTCGCTTGAAAATTGTCAGGGATTCAGCATTCCGGATAGGGGTGGGAAGATCGTTCCACCAGCCAGGAATGGTGAACGAGAATGGAAAGTAATTTTGAGCCTCTCTGTGATGGTACCACGAGGCGTCGCTCACTAGCGGATCTCAGACTTCTGGAGGGGATGTAGATTCGTAGTAGTGAGTGGAAGTAGGCGGGTGCTGAGCCTGTGGCTGTTCTATATGCAAGCATCAATGTCTTGAACTTGATTCGAGCCGCGACCGGTAGCCAGTGCAAGGAGATAAAGAGAGGTGTAACATGGGCTCTTTTGGGCTCGTTGAAGACCAGTCGTACCGCTGCATTCTGAATCATTTGTAGAGGTTTGATTGTGCTTGATGGAAGTCTAGCCAGAAGAGAATTGCAGTAGTCCAGCTTAGAAATGACAAGGGCCTGGACAAGAAGTTGTGCAGCATGCTCCGTTAGAAAGGGCCTGATCTTTCTGATGTTGTGCAAT